TCCCCTCATCACCTGCATCCCCATCCACTCCCCTCATCACCTGCATACCCATCCACTCAAGTGTTTTTGGTGTGGAGGAGAGAGAATAGCTAGAGAATGTCTAACTGCACACACTGATGTGACAGCTTCTCCAGTTGTCTGCCATCTACATCTTAATGCTTGGTGTTCTTAGAAAGATTTCAAAATTCCAGATTTAAAAGATGTATGAACCAGCCCAGCTGATGGGGAGATGGGCACACAGCTACCTTACTCAGAGCAGCATGTCAGTGCATGCATTCTGAGACAGTTCTGCCTTGTGCAGGTTGAAATGAGCTATGCCTAAGAGTCACTTCCAACTGAAACTCCTTTGTCTTTCTTATTTTTTTAACCTTTTCTGCTTTCTCCTTGCTACAATTTTTAGAGCAAGGCGTGGACTGCCGATGTGAATCATACTTAGATCATTGTTTTTGCATGTATTCTGAGAGGCAGATGCCAAATCCCCAATTTTAAAACAAATTATCAGATATTTCGAGAAGTCAGATTGAAGATTATTCTTTTCAAATCTTAAGAAGTCGCCTGCCACAAATGATCTACTTGACAGGAATTATTTTTTAAAAAGAGTTTACCTCATTTTAAATACATGGCCCCCTTTTCCTGATGGTAAATGCTTCTGTAGGCTCCCTCTCACAAGACCTTTTTTAGGATGGGTATTCAAGCTCCTTTAGCCCTGAATGTAAAATTTCCAGAAGAAAAGGCTTTGGTTACATTTTGAAAATCAAGTGGCAATGTTCTAAGACTGTATTTTAAGACTATCTTTTAAGCGAGGGGTCTGAAGAACCTTGTCTGTTTCTGCTCGTGTGGGGGTTTTGTTTGTTTGTTTGTTGCCGGTCTGAGAGGCTATTTTTGGTCCCCTGAATTTAGCACAGGTGGCTACAAACAATAGAACGCTAATGCAGAAGCAAGCCTACCTGGGATGTGCTCAGAGACTCACGCTAAGCCGGTCTGTGTGCTGTAGCTGCTCCTAACTCTGGCAGGGAGCTAGTGACTGTAGCTTCTTTCAGTGGCAAAGGGATGGCTTTCTCTCACACCACACTCACTTTCGCTTCTTCCCTGGCTGAAGAATGATTCAGCCCACTGTGATGAAGGTAGAAAATTAGGACATGTTCCCTCTGACTTTTTTGCTCAGTTGAGGCAAAAGCTTAGTTTCCCCAAGTCCCTTTTCTTGATGGAATGAATTACCAGGATGATGAATGTCACAGCGAACCTGTTACGTAAAGAGATCACCTCTCTGATTTTCTCTTCTTTTCTTCTTGTTTATTTAGTTGGTCTTCTGTTGTCCTTCTTTGATGTAGTAAAACCTCCTGCCTCTTTGCCTCCAGGACTCGTCTCTTCTGCGGCTCACACGGTGCCTGTAAACATCATGTAAAGTTTTTGAAGCTTAGTCCACAGAAAGACGATAACGTCAGTTCAAGTTTCTGGAGGTACTTCAGCTTGGCTGCAACAGGGTGAAAAGGCTTCCATGCAAGAAGCCGTGATCCAGCTTCAAACAATAAACGGGGCACGATCTGGACCTTCACCATGGACCTGCACATCTGACTGTATAACAGCCACCTTCCAACTGCCAAGTCTACTGAGGCCTTCCGCAAAGCCCTGCTGTGGCACAGTTTATCACCGAGGGACGGGGTGGGAATCTCTTAAAATGTGGCACTTAATCAAAGGTGCAGAAAAGCCAGGGGAGGTGGCTTCTGCTCTGAGAACAGAATCACAACATTAGGGCCTACTGGTCCGAGGCTGATAATGACAAGAGTTGAGGGGACTCCACAAACGTGCAGGAGATACAGCATTAGCCACAGCACCCCAATCCTGCTGGTCCCCAGCCAGAGTGCTGTGTGGTGTCACTCACTCTTTCTGGATCTTCATTTGTCTCATCTGCAGGATTGGGCTGAGAATGGGACGCAGGACATTTGTCCTGTGGCAGGCAACATCAGTCCCTGAGAATCTGGACAAGACCTAGTTGGATCACTATTTAATCTATCACAAAGAGGCTGAGAGCTGGCCTCTCCAGTCTGTCCCACAATGGTTGAAGGAACCTAGGGGGTCAGGATAGACATTTATTCCTGGCTACATATTGGCCAAAGTCTCAGTGTAGAGTTCTGGCCTTGTTACACAACCTCCTGTCACTACCAAGGTGAAAAGTCTCTGCCCCTCGATCCATCTACTGTGACACCATATGATAGCATCAGTTGGAAATATTTATTTATAAACCTTTTAATTACTCGGTTGGCTGTACAATTTCATTGCACATCCTTAGATGTAAAAGAGGGTTATGTTTGGGTCCTGTTTGGTTGGAATAAAATTTTAATTAAGAAAATATTTTCTTACAGTTTTTCAAAGCTATTTGTAAACCATAAGTTTTTTGTTTTTGTTTTGTTTTACATGACTTCAGGAATCTGGTTCACACTCATTCTGAACAAAATCCTCAAGAACGGCAGGGTCCTGGGAATCACAGGGAACACTGACAGAGGCCACAGCATGGTTGGCCGCTCTCGGCTGCTGCCCAGGGGGAGGAGGGTGGCCATCTGCAGTCTACCAAACAGCCACCCGTGGCTGGACAAACTCCCGCCTTGCCTTCAAAAACAAAACAATAAAATCTCAAGACAAACCAAACTATACAAACAAAAACCAAAAAACCAAACCCAGAATCCCAGGGGTGGAGCAGGGTTCAGGCTGCAGAAACAAGGGGACTGGATCCAGCAATTTCCAAGTCTCCCGCAGGCAGGGCAGGCCCCAAGAGGGAAATGGTGAAACGGGATTCCCTTTAAAGACTCCGCTTTGCGTGTTTTTAACATTTTTTACTACTATTGTTATTTATTTAGAAAAAAATCTCACTTGGTGGTTGAGAAGAACTTTACAACAAATTAACATAAGGGTTTTCAGTGCCCAAGATGGCCAGACTCCAGGTCAGCCTTGCCACTCCGTGATTGCTCACCTCCCCCACAGCGTAAAAGCTCAGTGCTGGCCTCTATGAATGGACCCGTCCTTTGGGGGAATCATTGGGAGGCTCTGCGGGGCTGGCCCCTAGACCCCTGACCTTCAAAGAGAACTGGTCCCTGGGTCCCTGGGTCCCTGGGTGGTGGTGTGGGGGTAGTTCTCACCCTCAACCTGGGTTTGTAAATGAGAACAAGCGTCACAGGGCCTCACAAGTTGGGGTGCACTTGCAGAGCCTGCGCAGAAAGTTTCTTAGCTCACCCCCTGGGGAAGTCCCGAAATCCGCTGAGAGCATGCACTTTCCCGACGCTTATTTTTCCAAAGAGCAACCCAAATCGACCAGATTTGATTTTGCCCATAGCAGACTCAGGGTGCCCAGAGGGGCTTGGGGGGTGGGGCGCGGCGGCGGGGACGTAACGTTAGAAGCTTGCCGGGCCCCCAGTGCCAAGGCACCCAAGGCACCAGGCTTCTTTTGCTGGTTTTCTTCTGAGCGCGGAGCTGATTCCGGGTTTTTGTCTCTTCGCTCTCCTAGCGTTTTCTTTCTGAATCTGCCCTTCTTCATAGTGCACCCCTAATCTCCTCGATCGATCGCGGTTGGGGTCGCATGCCTGCCTGGGAGCGGGGACAGCCGGAGGGTTCTCAGATCAAGATCTGCCCAGCCCCAGCCTGCGCTCTCCTTGGTTTCCTGTCTATATTACTGGGGTGGGTTTCCTTTCGGAGAAAATCGACTTAAGTCTCTCTGGTGCCTTCAGGGTCCGGTGTGGGTGGGGGAAGTGTAAGGTAAACACCACACAGAGTGAGGTGAGATCAGCGACTGAGGGGGTCTCTCTATTTCTCTTTCCCTTTCTTCCTTCCTCTCTCCCTCCCTTTCTCTCTCTGTTTCCCCTCTCTGTCTTCGTCCCCCCCGCCTCCCCCCCCCCTCCCCCGTGTGTGTGTGTCACCCTGAGGCATCCCAGGTCTTCAGTTCTGGCTGAGATTTCAATCTCCAGCCCTCCACACTGTTTAGTCCAGAAACTGGGGTCCCTACCTAGCCGGGGAAACTCAGGCTCTCGGAGTTTTTGCAGGATCCATTCTCTGAGTTTTTGTAGGATCCATTGTGGAAAGATCACGAAGGATTTCCCATTCAGCCTTGCTAACACCCCTTATCATATACCTAGGGTGGCCACAAGGTCCTTTCCCCCGCTCAGGCTATCACCCAAAGTTCTGAGTTTGATGATATGCCCCTGCAGTGTGACTTTTTTAGGCAAAGTGTGTAACTTACTCTGTTTTAGTTCCCTTTTTAAGAAATCTGAGGTTGGGGAACAGCTCAAATCAGTTCCAGGCTTCCTGTCTGTTGACAGTGGAGACTTGGCCACATTGTGAGGTGGACAGGTATTTTTAAGCACTGGACTGCCTTGGATGACAGATGAGGCTTGCTTGACGAGAGGCACACAGTGAAGAGGAAGGGACCTAAGCCATGTTAGAACCCTGTGGGTGGTTGATTTGGAATTCTAACGGCTGTTTTTTGAGAACTACTAAACCAGAGACACTGAAGGCAGAGTGAACCCTTCAGTGGAGAGTGTGGCCGGTTTCCCAGCTCCCCAGGGGACAGCCATCTCTCCTGGGTTCCTAACCCAGAGCTGGTGGCAGTTACAGCAAGGATCAGAGCACAGGATGAAGGTGTGACTTCTTGGACTATCTCCTTTGAGGGGGAGGCTGTTAGGCCGTTTTATAGAGGAAGCTGAGGCCCAGAGTTGTGGTGGGGTTTGTCTCTGCTGGGCTAGCTGGGATCCCTATCTAACCCAGCACAAGGATGCTCTTACACATAGATGCGTAGCCCCCCCCGCTGATGACCCCTGGGGCAGGTACCCTTGACTCTCTTAAGGGAAGCTGGTCTTGTTCATCCCCCCTCTACTTTCCCTTATTAGTTTACTTTAATTTTGAGTTTGGCAGGAAAGCCTATGGCGGCCATCAAGGGAAACACTCTGATTAGAACTGAAGCCTTCTGAGCTCGTGTTTGCTACTTTAAAACTCTTTGGCTGGCAATGAATATGGATGGTGGTTGCTTCCTATGAATATGGAGGAGCGGGTGGAGGGGTGTGTGGCGGATGGATCACTATTTAACATTAACTTCTGGTAACCTTGCCTCTTCTCTGGCTTCTCTGCACTATTATCCTGGGAAGGGTCAGCACCCGGTGCCTTTTTGCAAAATACAATTAGTCACTTTTTGCCACATGTGTTTGCCCCTGGACCTTATTTGCCATCCTATATAATTATTAGAAAAATCTTCTAATTTTATTTGAAATTCTAAGTCGCCACTTAGGCCAAAGTTCACGACACAGCATTGTGTTTAATTTCTCTTTTGTTAGCCCCCCCTGGACTCCTGAAGAATGACTCTCAGAGGAAGCTACCAGCCTGCTCTCTGTCTTATCACTGCTGTGACAGTGGGCGCCATTCACAAGAGCTCAGAGCATCTGCTCCAGACGAGAGGGTGTCACAGCCAGCCGGCTCTTCGCAGAGCTGTGTCTGGATGGCCGTGTCCCACGCTGCAATGACAGGCTCGACTTCCAGACCTTTCCCTTGCGCTTACTGTTCCCTTCTTCTGGAATGTTCTTTCTCCTCCTCACCTGCTTGGCGAGTGCCCGTTTATTTCTTTAAGACTCCTCTCAAGCCTGCCTCTTGGCACCTTTCCCTGACCATGTGGGAGGTGGCCATTTCCCTCCTGTTTGCCCTCCTGGCCCCCGCACTTAGTGACCTCTGCTACAACCACATTCCCTACTGTTATGAGACTTCTGCATCCCCACTGCCCGTGTGGCTCATATTTTGACTCACTCCCCTCAACGGCAGCGACCTCGTTTGGATCACCTCACCTGGGTGGTAATGTGGCTTACCTTCTGGGTCCTTTGGATTAGATGAGATACTTGTGTTCATAGGCGCTGCGGAGTAATCCTCAACGTGATTGCAACATGGCTGCTTCTCTTCAGACCTATGAGCTGCTTAAGACCAGGGAGGGAGCTCCATACTTCACTTTCTTCCCTCCCTCCTGCCTCTGCTCTGTCTTTCTCTCTCTCCCTGACTCTCGGTTCTCCCCCCAACCCCATGTTCTAAAACTCTGTGTAGCCCAGACTGGCCTCCAACCTGTGATCCTGTTGATTCTACCCTTCCAGTATGTGTCTCTCTCTCCTTGACCCACGGTGGCCACTGTTCCCAATGCTCGACACATCACAAATGTTCAGCTAGTGTTTTGGAAACAACAGACAGAGTTTGGGCCTGGAGAGATCAAGAGTCAGAGGTCATAACGAATCAGTCACCCAGCATCAGCTCGCCATTCGCTTCACACAAGGCACTGTGCTGGGCTCTGCAATGGATTCAGAGGAGCAAAAACCTCCACATGCTCACTACATAATTGGGGTGATAAATTAGGGTGCTGTGTAAGCCCATTGATAGGGCCATTAGCACAGAGCAACCCTGCTGCAGGTAATGGAACCTCAACCCCTTCCTGATCCATCTGCCGGTATCCTCTTAATGTTTCTTGTTCATTCCAGTACAGAATCCCCATGCCCAGGGCCTCAAGCTGCAGGGCTGTGCCTGCAGGAGCCTATCCATTATTTTGTAGGTCATGCATTTTAAAATAGATTTTTCTCAAAGAGATAGTTTAAGATATTTTAAACTTTGGGCCCCATAAAACCTGAATCTACCCCATTTGTACCACTGGGTAGCTTCACATACGTAGTGTCTCCCCAGTGACTTGAGCAGTGAGCTCTTACTGTGAGCCACACAAGACACCGGTGTACACTAATTAAAGTACCTACTGTGAGTTCTATAGCCTATTCACTTGTATCAGGCCAAACCTAGACTTTAGTGAGGGATACAAACATTTCATAATCTGACGAGACCTTACCTTGGGCCCATTTCTCATGGGAGCCTCGCTAGGTCACTTGTTCTTTTAGCCTGGGCATATCACACGTTGCTTAGCCTCTCTGCCTAGGATGCCTCCCTTCACATCTGGCACCTGCTTGTCACATCCTTGGAGCATGCTTCAAAGGCAATGTGCCTCCCCTTGGCCCCTCCCCTGGTCCTCCCCTTCCTCCTCCTTTGGTCCCTCTTCTCCCCCCTCCCTGGCTCCTCCCCTGGCCCCTCCCATCCTGTGTTCCTTGCACTATGGTGTTGCCCATCTGCTTTGATGGATGTCTTGGAGTGGAGTTCACCTTTGTTGCTGGTTTCTGACCGTGGTCTCCCTTGTGAGGGTTTGCATTTTGTTTCAGGGTCCCCTACTCCCATTCACACCACTAAAATTCCACCTGCTGTCTGTCGAAAACCAACAGCCTCTGTGTTGGAAGAAAGGAGAGAGAGAGAGGTAGAGAGGGAGGCTGGGATTTTCACTGTCAAAGGAGTGTTGGAAATAACAGGTGAGGTTCCCGAGGAGACTAGACAGACAGACAGACAGACATCCTAAGCTTGACCTTTGTCTTAGGGTCACTACTGCTGTGATGAAACCACATTGGGTTTTTTGGTCATGACCAAACCACATTGGGAAGGAGAAGGTTTACTTGACTTACACTTCCAGATCACTGTTCACCACTGAAGGAAGTCAGGATAGGAACTCAAACAGGGCAGGAACCTAGAGGCAGGAGCTGACACAGAGGCCATGGAACGATGCTGCTTACTGGCTTGCTCCCCATGGCTTGCTCAGCCCGATTTCTTATAGAAGCCAGGATCACCAGTCAGGGATGGCAGCACCCACCATGGGCTGGGCCCTCCCCTATCGATCACTAATGAAGAAACTGCTCTACGGGCTGGACCGTAGCCCACACTTGTGGAGGCATTTTCGCAATCGAGGCTCCCTCCTTTCAGATGTCTCTTGCGTGTGTCAAGTTGACACAAAACTAGCCAGCATGCCTTGACACTGAAGGAGGTCATGGGTTAGAAATGACTGTCAGAACCTAAGGTGACTGACATTGTTTTGTGTCTACGAAGTGACTCCTCTGTGGGAGTGTTTCTGGCTTCTCTGTTCACTTTGCTGTAAGCAGAGACCACTTCAGTAAAGTGGAAATAATTAGTTCACCAGCCATACCCAAGGATTTATTTTTTTAAAGCATCTACTTCTAGAAACAACTGCCCCCCTTTTTAAAAAATGATTATATTGTTGATCTCAAACAGCATGTTTGAAAGATGCCTTCAACATGGTGTGCAAAACAAAAATGTTGCCATGGACGGGAAACCGGAGAACAATTCTTTTAGACTCTTTATGAACCCTGTGTGCCTCAGCCCTTTGAGAAGATGGCATATAAGCTAAATTCCCTTTGATTCTGGCATGTGACACTGAAGAAAAAAAAATCAAAGGCATTATTTTTTGACAAGGTTTGAGGACCTAGAATTGAGAAAAGTACTCGGCATCGAGGTGGCTGAATTAATACTATTGAAATTGTGTTTATAAGATTGATAAGGAAGGTTCATTCACTAAAAACCATTATGGCAGATGTAATAATGACAGCATTCAACTTTCTTCAAAGGCATGTATTAAGCGCCCACAGGTACTTGGCAGTCTGTGGTGCGCTACACAAAGTCAGACAGACGTGGTCCCTATTCACGGAAGCGCACACCATTGTGCACTGCCTTTGTTGGGAGCACAACTTTCTGCTTGTCGCTGTCGTCTGAAAGACGCTCCTTGTCATTATTTGTGCTGTCTGGGTTTTTTTATTTTTGAGGGGTCTTTTCTTCTTCTTTCCTGTCTTTTAATTACACTGTACAAAGTGGTATTTTATCCTCTGGGGATGTTGCTGGCTGGCTGCATGTGGGGGGAGTACTCTTACGGAGTTGGGGGTGTGTCTCTGCAGAATGTCCTCTTTACCCTTTCCGGGTGCTTTGTCCCTGTGTGGTCACTTGAATCTCTGATGCTCTCTCTTTCCCACCCCCACCTTCCAGCCCCCACTGCCCAGCTGCCGCCTCATCAGAGGTGACAGTTTACTGACTGTCAATGCAAGATTCTGCAGTGACACAGGAGGCCACCTGCTCTTCTAATGGGCAAAGCAATATTTTACCCCTGTCCTCGTTAGATGTCTATCGCTGTGATAAAACACCACGACCCAAAGCGACTTGGTGAGGGAAAGGTCTATTTCTTCTCACTCTTCCACCACTGAGGGAAGCCAGAGCAGGAACTCAAGCAGGGAAGGAACCTGGAGGCAGGAACTGATGCAGAGACCATGGCTTACTCAGTCTGCTTTCTTATAGCATTCAGGACCACCTGCGCAGGGGTGCCCACAGTGATCCAGGCCCTTCCACATCAACCATTAATGAAAAAAAAAAATGCACCACAGACCTACCCACAGGCCAGTCTAGTGGGAACATTTTCTCAGTTGAGGTTTCCTCTTCCCTAATGACTTCAGCTCGTGTCAAATTGACATAAAGCTAGCCTGCACAACCCTGAACACATTGGTGCCCACAAACGTGCAGCTTTTGGGATGCACAGTGCGGCAAACAGTTAA